GGAACAGGTGTTCATGGCTGCCGTGCTCGAAAAAGGCATCGTGCGTTCCGACTTGAAGCCACTGTACAAGCCGGAAGCTGTCCTCGAACGAGTTCGAACGCGCGGCCCCTTCCTGCCCGTCTTCTTGCCAACGTCCAAGAACATTTTGACCATTGAAACAAAGAGTGTCTGCCTTCGAATTGGCTGCGCTAACGTTGACAAACAGAAACGGGTGTGGTTCATCTCGGAAGAGGGAACCTCGTGTGGGATGCCAATTAGCCATCGTCTCCTCCGCATTTCCCCCAATGTGGAGGATAAATATGCCTCGTATACCCTGAAGCTGGCTAGTAACCTGGCGGTGGAACGATTGGTCGAGGTGCTGTTGGCAACCGACGTGATGGAACTGAAGGATCTACTCCAAGTGTACAATGCCGACCCTCGCACGTTCAAATTGAGTCCCGCAATTAAGGGAGCGATCCCCATGATACTCGAGGCATTTTTCGTCCACCATGATACTCGAGGCATTTTTCGTCCAATATGCCGTCACGATTGACAAGCCTTTGCGTTGAGAGCATTGGCAGGTGGCCACTATAAACTGCTCTGCCGCCGACATGTTTGGCTGGATGCCGACGTGGGAGGCCTTCTCATTGAACGTGTCGAATATCAATGGGTTCAAGAGTCCAACGTATGCAGACATTGTGGCCTCCCCCAATTCCATCTTCTACATGAACGACCCAGCGTATCCGTTTGTCGACTGCTTTTGGTACGATGGCGATACCAACACGGTACACGCCTGCCAAATCTCCAAGCACAGACGTCGACGCGTTCAACGCTATGATGGAAAAGCTTGCTATTCTGGACACCGGCAAGCTGGCAGTGAATATTACCCCCCTGCTGATGCGAATGTCGAGGATATTGCCGAAATCTACCAAGATGCATTGTTCGTGACGTGATGATAATTTGACAAGTCTATACTTGATGTTATAACGTGTTGCAGTAAATTTCAAAAACGGATACGTAAGGCCGAGTCTGGATATCCATAGAAAGAAATTATAACGTTATGTCAAGTAATATTCAGAAATCCCTTTTCAAAATGGGCCTGGAAATATTAGATTTGGATTAAAACAACTGTTCAAGCAAGACAGACATGTTTCAATATTTGTAAGATTTAGGGCGCTCTGGTATTTCAAAATTTGTCTGATTTAATGAATTCAGCATCAAAATGGCATTTTGGGCCAGAATATTGTAAGTGTCTGGTAACCAGAAATATGATTCGTCGCATTTAAAAAAATCCATTGCTGCCGCAAAAAATGTTACAAAACACTTCTTTTTGCAAATTTTCAGAAATATTATGACAATTTTTCAAACGACAGCTTTTGTGTGTTACTGTATTGTCAAAAATGGAAAGCCCTCGGGAGAATCGAATGTCTTAGGAGAATCGACTAAAGAACCACCTGAGCCAATCAAATCACGTCATGTCATATTTCTGCCAATCCAAACGTTTGACCCCTCCGCATTGGGCAAAACCATTCATATACTAATATTTTTATAGTTTATAGTATATTGTGTACAAGATTAAATAGGATCAAAAGGATTCGAATGCTATTTGGTGAAATGACTCTCAAGTCCAAATGTGGGTGAAATGCACAATGTAATATGTCGAAATTTTACTGTTTTCTGACAGAAAAAAGTTTCAACAGCAACTGTCCAATTTTTACCTACATGTTATTCCAGCAATAGTTCACATTCCATCATGGCATCCAGGGGTCCCATCAAGATATTTTGCTACTGGTATTATTTATTCCTCCTTGGGATTTACTCCTTAAGGAGGTCTGAAACGCCGTATTACAAAATGGTCCCTTTTACCTCATTTTGAAAGTGCTATTTTTCGTTAATCTCACTTTGATCGAAAACGGAATATTATTATTGAAACGTTTCCGGTCTGTTTACATTTCGAAAACAGTTTTATTCATGTTAATTTAAGACTTTTACAGTTTTGCATTCAAATCTATATTTGGTATTGCGGGTTTTGCCCAGGCGAAACATCTTTTCGCGATTTCGCAGCCTCCAGTAAATGTCAAC